GTCGATGAAACCTTCAAATAATGGGTTCCCAATCAAATAAAAGTCCTATCTTGCTCTACTTGTATAATTTTTTTGTTCTTATTTATTTGTCATTTTAAAACAATTCTCATTTTTTTAAAGGAAAACAATTCTCATTTATTGACATGTTTTGATTCTACTTGAAGTTAGAGATTTTTTTTTTTCTTGAATGAAATATGCTCATTGCATTTCATTAATAATGATTGTTTCAATACAAGTTGAGATATGATAATAAATAATGGGACTAGCTAGAAATGTCGCCTCTCCTGCAAGTGCATGAGCAGCTGCATTTGCTTGTCGCCGAATGAACTCTACCCGAAAGTTTGTGAAGAAAGCGGAAAACAGAGCTTTACAAGATGTGATGATATTACCAAACTTGGACACGTCTTCTCGACGGGAATGAAAAGCATCACAAGTTATTTTAGAATCAAGCTCGAAATCGATATTATCAAAAGACATATCGCTAAGCCATTGGAGGGCTTCAAATAATCCCATGGCTTCACCTACTGACACCTGATATATGCAGGGAAAGCTGATCATTTTTGCCAAGACAAATGCACCTTCCACGTCACGAATACACACGCCAATCCCCATACGGTGAAAATTTGTCGAAAAAAACTGCGTCAACGTTGCATTTCAGCCTTCCGGGAGCTGGTTTCTGCCATACACTCTGATGTACTGCTGGAATAGCATCTACTGCCAAATTGTGTGACTGATGCATGGATGGGGATGTTGCAGCAGCTGTGCGCCTTTCTGGTGTACTGTTGTTTGCAATCTGCCAGTCCGTGATCAGAACATGCGCACGATCAACAACGACAGCAACAACTCCAGTCACGTCCTCCCACACCTTCAAGTTCCGGTGTTTCCATAGACTCCACACAGTGGCTGCAAAAATTTGTTTCTGCGTTGTAGGAAGGTCTGCAAGCAAAGCAAATATGACATCTACAACATTAACATTATCCACAATTGCATTATGAACTTGAGTCCAAAGACCTGATGACCTCCAGACTTGTATAGCAAAAGGACACGTGAGGAATAAGTGTTCCAAGTCCTCATAATTGGACTCAAAACTCACACAATTCATAGGACATTGTACTCCTTTGTCATGAAGGCGAATTCAAGTAGGTAAACAACCTCTACACATCCGCCAGATTAAATTTCAGATTTTAGGGGGTACTTTAAGTTTCCAGATGCACGACCAATGACCAGGACAACGAAGATGAGATGAACCAATAAGCTCTTCGACACACAAACGATAAGCACTTTTCACAGAATACTTTCCGTGCTTTTCCGCTTTCCAAATCAGACGATCATATTGTACTTGAGCAATAAGAGGCGTGCTTATAATTTTATCTGCTAAGTCGACACTGAAAACTTATCTGATATTGTCCTCATTCCATCTCTTCTCATTTGGCAGCATCAAATTGTCAATCGTCACCTCACGAATATACTGTGCACCCACAATATTATTATCAATACACTCACCATTAAGAATCCAAGGCTCTCCCAAAATGCAGATACTCTTACCTGCACCAATACTCCAACATGCTCCTCCCCGGACAATGAAACGGGCGCACAGGATACTACGCCAGACATAGCTGGCGTTGTGACCAATGGTGGCGGTGAGGAAAGTATTGTTAGGGAAATACTTAGCTTTAAACATACGAGAAACAAGGGAATCTGGTTCCGTCAAGAATTTCAATCCTTGTTTGCCCAACATGGCAAGGTTAAAAGTTGTAAGGTCTTTAAATCCTAAGCCTCTGTTAGTTTTATGCATTGATAATTTCTCCCAGCTTAACCAATTTATTCCACGTTGGTTAGTACGACCATGACCCCACCAGAAGGAATTCATCATTTTTTCGATGGTGTTGATAAGAGTAGCAGGTAGCTGAAAAATGCTCATGACGTAGGAGGGAATAGCTTGCAATACGGACTTAATCATAACCTCCCGGCCTGCTTTAGATAAACATTTACTACTTCATGAATTTATCTTTTGCCAAACACGGTCCTTAATATACGTGAAAGTGGAGTTCCTATTCTTACCAATCATATAGGGTAGTCCCAAGTACTTACCCGTACCAAGGACGACCTGAACACCTAGAATTGCAGCAAGATTATTCCTCAACGGTTCCGGCACATTGCGGCTGCAAAAGATTTTAGATTTTGGTAAGCTAATTGCTTGTCCTGATGCCGATTCATACGTGGAAAGGATATCTTTCATGACCTGTGCTTCACTTTCAGTTGCTTTAAAAAATAGAAAACAATCATCAGCAAATAAAAGATGGGATACAGCAGGAGCCGCTCTACAAATCTGAGTACAAGAAATAGTTTCTCTATTCTCCGTGTCTTGAATAAGCGAAGAGAGGCCTTCTGCGCATATAATGAAAAGATACGGGGATAGAGTATCCCATTGTCGAAGGCCACGACCTGGAATAACAGGACCAACTGGCTCGTTGTTGACAATAACAGAGTAATCCACAGATTCGACGCACATGCTAATCCAATGAATCCACTTACTATTAAAACCCATTTTAAACATCACTTCACGAAGGTAATACCAATCCATCATATCGTAAGCCTTTCTTATATCAAGTTTCAATGCAACATATCTATCATTACCTCGTGTTTTTGTTTGCATAAAATGAATTACCTCGATTGCTGCCATAACGTTATCAAGAATAAAGCGACATTGGACAAAGGCAGATTGGTTGTCAGAGATGCATTTCGGAAGGACAACCTTCAGCCTGTTTGCAAGAACTTTGGATATCAATTTGTAGAGCACATTACAAAGCGCAATCGGACGCCAATCGCGCATAGAGGTCTGCGAGTTACCTTTGGGAATGAGAGCAATGTTTGTCATGTTCAAATCAGGGGGAAATTGACCGGAGTCAAGCCAGGCACAACATTATTTGAATATATCATCACAGCATAAATTCCAAAAGTGTTGATAAAAATCCGGGATAAAGCCATCATGCCCGAGACATTTATCAGGGTGCATAGAAAACATAGCATCACGAAAATCAGCTTTAGAAAAAGGCGCAGTAAGGAACTCATTATCAGACGCAGAGATGGACTGACGTATCACATTGATAACTGGAAGTGTAGTATTATTCTGTTTTTGAAAAAGATCAACAAAATACTCTTTGGCAACTGCACGCATCCCTTCAGTATCTGTGATTTTATTTCCAGCATTATCATTCAAAGACAAAATTTGATTTACCTTTTTCCTTGCCGATGCGGAAGCATGAAAAAATTTAGTATTTCTATCACCATCCTTATACCAATGTGTTTTAGCTCTTTGTTTCCAATATGCATCATCTTGAGCAAGTAGGTGTTGCATCTTTTTACGCATATCTAGCAGCTGAGTTTGTGCAGCACCTACATGGTTATCACGCAACAGCTGCAGTTGTCGTGAGCACTCTTCAATGTCAGTTTTAAGTTTCCTGCAATGAGTTCTACTCCATAGTGACATATCTTCTGCACATGCAGTAAGTTTAGGAATGATGAGATGAGATAAATTCATGTTCCAAGAATCAGTGACTATATCATGAAAGCCTGGTTCAAGCTGCCATGCATTTTCATACTTGAATTTTGTCTAGGAGGAGGAGCACGAGGCATATAGGACCGGTGCAACAAAATTGGATAGTGGTATGAAGCCGGGGCAGCAAGATTTTCTAACATGGCATTTGGAAAAAGATGAAACCAAGCATTGTTGGCAAGGGCTCGGTCTAGTCTCTCTTCAACAGCTCATGGAGTTCCCAAACTCTTAAACCAAGTGAACGGATACCCTTCTAGAGGCATGTCTGACAAACCCGAGTCTTAAACAGCTTGACGCAAGCCGTTAATTAACCATCGCGGTTGTAGAGCATGTCCTCTCTTCTCACTGTCATCCATTATGTCGTTGAAGTCATCAATAATGCACCAAGGACCTGTATATTGATTAGATAAATTACGAAGGAAGTTCCACGCGGCATGTCTACGTTCCCCATTGGGGTACCCGTAGTAACCGGTAAGCCTCCAAGTGCCAAGAATAGAGTCAATAATTTCAATAGTTATATGATTGTTGGAGTAATTTATAAGATTGCAATTTAAAGAAGAACGCCAAAATATAGCAAGACCCCCGCTTCTACCGGTGCAGTCAACAGAAAAGCAAGAATCATAACCAAGAATATAACGGAAAACTTCAATTTTATTTCGGTGGACTAAGGTCTCACTTAAGAATAATAGATCTGGATTGAAGCGCCAGATTAGGTACTTTAAATCTGGAATCACACTCGAGCGACCTAAACCCCGGCAATTCCATGCTACAAGACTCATGGACCCCAGCAGGCATGAGTTCCAGGACCTGCCGATACAACATACTCATCAAACAGTGGATTATCCACTACATTCATATCAGATATCCCCCCATTGCTAACATTCATTCCTAAATTAGACACCCCATTGTCCCCATTTGCAGACACAATAGCTTCAGCACATTCAACAGCTACACCCTTTCCATTATTAGCAGCCAGCATCCTCTTTCTTTTCCTCATCTCTGATTCGGTATCCATAACATCATCTTCGACATCATGAGCAAGGCGTGTAACACCTATGATAGTCAGAGGGGCTGCAGGTAAGCCAAGGACAAGAGAGCGGGGAGAAATAAACTCCTGATGGAAGGTACCTGCAGAAGAAGAATTAAGAAGATGAACCGGTGTCATAGAGGATGAACCAACACCATTACGAGCCACCACCGTATTTTGAGCGACAAGGAAGTCCTGTTTAAGGGAATTGATATCCTGATACACTGCCATCATCCGACCCTGCAAATTAGATAGGTTAGGCGCAACACCAACAGAAGAATCACCACCAGACATTTGTTGTTCGCCTGAATTCGTACTGCCACGAGAATTCACATCAGGGATAGGGTCCTACTGCCATTTGTTAGTAACTGCAGTACCAACACGACGAGCTACTGGTTTGAGGTCAGGTCCCCACCCTCACACACCATCATCAAAATTGATCTCAAAGAGCTTAGGACACACTTTGTCTGTATGGCCAAGAAGACCACATCTGTAGCAAAAAACACCGAGTTTTTCATATTTGAAAAACACTGGTACATAGTTTCCGTCATTCACACGAACCTTCCATTCTTTCTTCAGCGGTTGAGTAACATTCAGCTTGACTTTGATGCGCATGTAGGAGTTATGCACAGTATTCCGAATATCATAAGCTTTGAACTCACCCAAAAATTGGCTGATACCTTGACCTACCCTCTGCTGGATAAAACCAAATGGTAGGCCATGTACCTGCACCCACATGTCCATGTGATTCAGGTCAACACTCAGATGGACAACACCCAGAGCAATCTTTTCGACAACAAGATGCCATGGACCATCTTCCATGACCTTAGCCGCATCCATCTTATGATGAAATTGGAACAAGTAGCGCTCCCCTTCAGCCTGTAAAATGGTAACACGCTTGACATGATTCCAAGTGCTAGCCATTCATTCAGCAAAGTAAGCAAACTTGATTTGTCTGTCTGCCAAAACAAGTCTGATCAAATAGTCTTCTAGTACGGGTGATGTAACGCCCTCTTTGTTATTTAATTATTTTTCTTGAAATAGAGTCGAATTATATGATTTATTTAATTATGCTGGTATTTTATTGGGTGGTTTTATTATTTATTAGACTATATTTAGTAGAGAATTGTAATTATTAGAATAAGTAGATTTGGGGGGTTGAAATAGAAAGGATAGAGTTATTGGGCCTAATTAGATTTAAGAAGAGACATTAGTATTATAAATAGAGGAGATATTAGGTTGAAAGAGAAACAGATGCAAAGACAAGGATTTGGAGAAAACAAGGTTTAGAGAGAAGAGAACAAGAGGAGATAAGAACCAAGAGAGGAGGCTGCCAATCGGTAATTCTAAGGTAAGGGTGAGACTAACATTCAGTATTATTAAGTCTGTAATTCTGATAATTAGATTTAACAGGTTGTAGGTTGAGTTTGTGAGAATTTGAGAATTAGGGTTTGAAGTCGTTATAGGTTGTTAGTTGAATAGGAGTCTATCAAATTCATGTCCAGTTGGTGTTCAGTTCATAGAATAATCATAGTTAGAGGTTTCTATCAATTTTGGAATTTGGGTTGATGAAAATTGGGATTTAAGAGTGATTCTTAAGTGAAAAACACATTGTTAAACTGATTTTTGAACTGCTGAGAAGCCCAAAATTGGCCACCGAATTGTCAAAATCGGCCACCAATTTCTGATCTGAATTTCCAGTTCTAGTTCTGCAAAAATCGGCCCCCGATTTGTCAAAATTGGCCACCGATTTTCTGTCGAGCCAATCTAGAAAACATTCACATTTTTCACCTTTTTCCGTTTTGAATTTGCCTTCGATGTAAACATGAAAGTTTTAGATAATTGTGTTAGCTTTCTAATGGTCTTCGTTTGGCTCAAAAATAATTTTTAGATTTTGAGTTATGATGAAAATACTCCAAATGGGTCTTAGTAAAACTTTATGAAAATTCAGCATAACTATTTCTAAGTTAAACCAAAACTTATGGATTGTCTCCAAACTTCAAAGCTTGTGTACTATGAGTTTAATTAAGGTGTTTAAGAGTATTTAACCTATGCTGTGATGAGTCTAACTAGTGGTAGGTTGCCTTGAATTGTTGCCTTGCGATCCTTTTCGCACGTGTAGTCTTGAGATGACCTCGGGGTAGGAAATGAAAGTTATTGATGATGTTAGAAGCTGTCCAGAAGACCTGAATTAAGATGATTAATATTAATAGTAATGTGATGTTGTTAAATATGCACCTTAAGTATTACTTATGATGATCATGTTGATGCGATTCATTCTTTAATGATTATATGATGTATAAGAGCTGTTATTTGCTGCATAGGTTGCTGTTTTGCCGTTGTTGACCATTAATGTCATAAAGTTGTAAATGTCGGTCTAAGTTGTAAAGTTGTAAGATGTCGTCCAAATTATTGGAGTCATATAAGATGTTCATGATGTTCAAGATGTTTAAGATGTAAGATGTTGAGTCCATGCATACTCATTCAAAGTTGAGGGCTCGATGCTCTGGAGCCTTTTTACGCTCAAATATGTTGGGGGCTTGATGCCCTGGAGCCTTTTTACGCTCAATTATGTTGAGGGCTTGATGCCCTGATTGGTACCACATGCATTTGCATTGTCAAGATGATTTAAGATGTTAAGAGTTGCATAGTCGAGTCAAAGTCGTCAAGTTGTTAAAGATTAATTTACGAAGTTGATTATGAAGTTGATGTCGATGATTAATATGAAGTTGTTTATGATGATGATATGATATTACATGATTATTATTATGATATGTTGATGATGTTTATGTTGTTAAATGTAATTGATGAATTATATGCTTAATATTGTTGTTTGTGAAATCTCACTCCTTCTGCTTGAAAATGTTGCTCTTCGTATGTGTAACTTGTAGGTAACCAAGACTAGTTGCGGTCGTGAGTGGACTCCTCACAAGTGTGTGTCTTAGGTGCTCTGATACGTAACGGGATGGGAATTTTGTTGTTGCTTTCCGTTCCTTACGTATTATTTTAGAAGTTTTCAAGAATTATTGTTGAACTAAGATTTTATGTTGAGACCCTTGTGCCAAAGATTATTTAAGATGTTGAATAATTCCGCTGCGAAGTTTTAAATATTTTGTTGTTGGATTTTGAAGGATTAATATTTATTTATTCCGTTTATGATTTGATGAAAAGAAATGTGACATTCCGTTTATGTTGAGAAACTCTGATTTATTTTACGAAATTTTTATGTTGGGAAAACGGGGTGTTACAATTGGTATCAGAGCAGGTCGGTCCGTCCGGCCAAGTAGATGAGTCGTTGTGTCGTGTGACGGTTGAATATTGTCGTTGTGTTTTCTATTTAATAGTTATGTTATATTATGTGATCATGTTTAACTGACTAATTTTAATGTGGTTTTTGTGTATTGTCTGAAGTTTCTATTTTGTTATATATAGTTTAAGATATTTAGGCAATAATTAAATTCATTTTCTCCTGTGCTCTGAATTTCGAGGACGAAATTCTTCTAAGTTGGAGAGAGTTGTAACGCCCTCTTTGTTATTTAATTATTTTTCTTGAAATAGAGTCGAATTATATGATTTATTTAATTATGCTGGTATTTTATTGGGTGGTTTTATTATTTATTAGACTATATTTAGTAGAGAATTGTAATTATTAGAATAAGTAGATTTGGGGAATAGAAAGGAGAGAGTTATTGGGCCTAATGAGATTTAAGAAGAGAAGTTAGTATTATAAATAGAGGAGATATTAGGTTGAAAGAGGAACAGATGCAAAGACAAGGATTTGGAGAAAACAAGGTTTAAAGAGAAGAGAACAAGAGGAGAGAAGAACCAAGAGAGGAGGCTGCCAATCAGTAATTCTAAGGTAAGGTGAGACTAACATTCAGTATTATTAAGTCTGTAATTCTGATAATTAGATTTAACATGTTGTAGGTTGAGTTTGTGAGAATTTGAGAATTAGGGTTTGAAGTCGTTATAGGTTTTTAGTTGAATAGGAGTCTATCAAATTCATGTCCAGTTGGTGTTCAGTTCATAGAATAATCATAGGTAGAGGTTTCTATCAATTTTGGAATTTGGGTTGATGAAAATTGGGATTTAAGAGTGATTCTTAAGTGAAAAACGCATTGTTAAACTGATTTTTGAACTGCTGAGAAGCCCAAAATTGGCCACCGAATTGTCAAAATCGGCCACCAATTTCTGATCTGAATTTCCAGTTCTAGTTATGCAAAAATCGGCCCCCGATTTGTCAAAATTGGCCACCGATTTTCTGTCGGGCCAATCTAGAAAACATTCACATTTTTCACCCTTTTCCGTTTTGAATTTGCCTTCGATGTAAACATGAAAGTTTTAGATAATTGTGTTAGATTTCTAATGGTCTTGGTTTGGCTCAAAAATAATTTTTAGATTTTGAGTTATGATGAAAATACTCCAAGTGGGTCTTAGTAAAACTTTATGAAAATTCAGCATAACTATTTCTAAGTTAAACCAAAACTTATGGATTGTCTCCAAACTTCAAAGCTTGTGTACTATGAGTTTAATTAAGGTGTTTAAGAGTATTTAACCTATGCTTTGATGATTCTAACTAGTGGTAGGTTGCCTTGAATTGTTGCCTTGCGATCCTCTTCGCACGTGTAGTCTTGAGATGACCTTGGGGTAGGAAATGAAAGTTATTGATGATGTTAGAAGCTGTCCAGAACACCTGAATTAAGATGATTAATATTAATAGTAATGTGATGTTGTTAAATATGCACCTTAAGTATTACTTATGATGATCATGTTGATGCGATTCATTCTTTAATGATTATATGATGTATAAGAGTTGTTATTTGCTGCATATGTTGTTGTTTTGCTGTTGTTGACCATTAATGTCATAAAGTTGTAAATGTCGGTCTAAGTTGTAAAGTTGTAAGATGTCATCCAAATTATTGGAGTCATATACGATGTTCATGATGCTCAAGATGTTTAAGATGTAAGATGTTGAGTCCATGCATACTTATTCAAAGTTGAGGGCTTGATGCCCTGGAGCCTTTTTACGCTCAAATATGTTGGGGGCTTGATGCCCTGGAGCTTTTGCTCAAATATGTTGGGGGCTTGATGCCCTGGAGCCTTTTTACGCTCAATTATGTTGAGGGCTTGATGCCCTGATTGGTACCACATGCATTTGCATTGTCAAGATGATTTAAGATGTTAAGAGTTGCATAGTCGAGTTAAAGTTGCATAGTCGAGTCAAAGTCGTCAAGTTGTTAAAGATTAATTTACGAAGTTGATTATGAAGTTGATGTCGACGATTAATATGAAGTTGTTTATGATGATGATATGATGTTACATGATTATTATTATGATATGTTGATGATGTTTATGTTGTTAAATGTAATTGATGAATTATATGCTTAATATTGTTGTTTGTGAAATCTCACCCCTTCTGCTTGAAAATGTTGCTCTTCGTATGGGTAACTTGCAAGTAACCAAGACTAGTTGCGAAAGTGAGTGGACTCCTCACAAGTGTGTGTCTTAGGTGCTCTGATACGTAACGGGATGGGAATTTTGTTGTTGCTTTCTGTTCCTTACGTATTATTTTAGAAGTTTTCAAGAATTATTGTTGAACTAAGATTTTATGTTGAGGCCTTTGTGCCAAAGATTATTTAAGATGTTGAATAATTCCACTGCGAAGTTTTAAATATTACGTTGTTGGATTTTGAAGGAGTAATATTTATTTATTCCGTTTATGATTTGATGAAAAGAAATGTGACATTCCGTTTGTGTTGAGAAACTCTGATTTATTTTACGAAATTTTTATGTTGGGAAAACGGGGTGTTACAGGTGATGAGGCAGTTTCGGAGGCTAGGTTTAGGGTTAGACCTTCGTCAGGTAAGGTCAAACCACCAAGGTTGAGGCCGTTTGGATCCATAGGGCAAGGAGCGACAGGAAAT